AAATAAGGCCAGCGCTTCATCGGGAGCAGTATAATATGTATGTACATGTATAACCCCTCAAAAAACGGAAGCGCGGAAATGAGGACGCGTATCCTGACACAGCATGGCGTGGCGACGCCCCAAGGTGGGGGCTTCGGCGGCCCCAGAAATTAAACGAATCGACACCGAGGGTGTAATCATTTCCGATGGTTGATTCGAGCGGTGCATTTTCTAGATTTTGGGGCCTATTTGGAAGGACCGGAAGACCGAAAACGATGTGTGGCATGGCGCTGGAAATAATGACGCCAGCGCTGCAGCGGGAGCAGGATTCGGAACGAGTGGAAGCGCGGGAATGAGGCAAGCGCTGCAGCGGGAGCACGATTCGGAACGAGCGGTAGCCCGAAAATGGGACCAGCGTTTCAGCGAGAGCCGTCTTTCTGTTTGTTTATATATGTGTATCCATATATAATGCGCGGAAGCGCGGAAATGAGGACGGGTAGCTTGACATAGCATGGCGTGGCGACGCCCCAAAGTGGGGCGGGCTTCCGCGGCCCCAAAACATCAGCGAATCGGCACCGAATGTGTAATCGCTTCCGATTTGGAAGGGCCGAAAACCATGCCACGGCATGGTGCTGAAAAGAATGACGCCAGCGCTGCAGCGGGAGCACGATTCGGAACGAGCGGAAGCGCGGAAATGAAGCCAGCGCTGCAGCGGGAGCACGATTCGGAACGAGCGGTAGCCCGAAAATGAGGCCAGCGCTTCAGCGAGAGCAGGATTTGTTTGAGAAAACAGCGAAAACCCAACTCCCGGGAATCTTGTGTGTAAAAAACTTATACGCGGCGGGGGGCCGGACATTCCCCGGACGCCACCAGGACAGAGAGGAGAGTTGGTATTTAGCGTGCAGTTCTGGAGGAGGAAGAGAGGGAGTTGGAGGAGGAGCAGGAGGAGCAGGAGGAGCAGCAGAATGGGGGAGAGAGGAGGAGGAGGGGGGGAGGAGAAGGAGGAGGAGGAGGAGAAGGAGGAGAAGGAGGAGGAAACCCGCGCCCCCCCCAATATATGTGTGTTCCATAAGTGTGTATGTATGTGCATTTGTATAAGTACATGTACATGTATATATCTTGGTTGCACACATCGATATACAGTATTATCGACCAACCCGTAGATACCCATATATAGACTTACCTTTACATATACGTACATACATACGTATACACAGGCGTGCATGCATGCATACACACATACATATATACAGACGTATACCGGCCGACCGACCTACTTCCTTATATACATACAAAGATATATCCTACATACATACATCCATACATGCATACATGCTTGTATACATAGATACCAGCAGACAGACAGACAGGCAGGCAGGCAGGCGGGCAGGCAGTACTGCCTGCCTGCATGCATACATGCGTACATACTTGCACACATGCATACATGCATCCATACATGCATGCCTACATGCGTACGTACGTGCAGTTGTGCATACGTGCATGTGTACATACCTGCACCCATACATACACACGTACATTCATACACGCATACATGTATACATGCATACATGCATCCAAGCATACGTGCATCCATAGATACAAACATACACACAAACATACATGCATGCATGCATACATACTACACATACATACGACATTCATACATACATACATGCACCCATACATACAGACACACGGACATACATGCATACGCACATGCATACCTACACACAAGCATACACATGTGACTATATGCATACACACGTACAGACATACACACGTGCATGCATACATAAATACATGCGTACATCCACACATCCAGATATGCAGACATACCAACATACATGCATACACTCACACACATACACATATGCACACATGCGTGAGTACACATATGCACACATATGCACACATATATGCATGCATGCATACACATACGCATATGTGTGTTTAAACGTATAGGTGTATATTGTTGTGTGCGTGTGTGTGTGTGTGTTTGCACATATATGTGTATGTATGCATACATCCACTGGGGACAAGGCTGGTGGCCCCCCGGGCGGCCCCTCGACGCGCCATGAAGGCCCCGGTGGCGCGCTGGGATCGCGCCAGGAGGCTGAGGACGTCCCCAGAAGGCGCCTAGAGAGCTCCAATAGCGGTCCAAGAGGCCTCCTAGAAAGCCCAAGTGCGCTCCAAGACGCCCAATATGGCCTCAAGATGGCGGTCGCGGGAACGTCCCTGGCGGTCCAGTTTGCCCCGCCTTTCTTTTGTTTTCTGTGTGTATCTACATATATATTTATGTATATATATACATATGTATATATATATATATATATAGATGTATGCGCTACAGTTATTGGAATAACTATCTGTATTAGCTGTCCCCCCCGATTTGTTCTGCAACTGCTTTAAGACATTACTTCAGTTTGGATTGGGCTCGCCTCCCGTCGAAGGGCCTTTAACACACGCCGCCTGGGTCGGCGGACTTAGTGTCTCTACGCTCGGCTCCCAACAAAAAGCCAAGCGTGGGGCCGCCGCCGCCGCCCGCCGCAGGTTCGTGGAGCGCCTGCAGCCCGAGCACCTGGCGAAGATCGCCGAACAGGCGCCGCCCCCAGCGGCCCTCACCTCTCCGCTGGCCCTGCCCAGACTCCGCCAGCCGAGGCTCCCGCCGCCGCTGCCCTCGCTGCTGGTCCCGGGTCGTCGCCGCCGGTCGTAGTCGTCGTCGTCGTCGTGTCGTCGTCGTCGTCGCCAGTCGTCCGCCCGGTCGCCCAGTCGCCGTCGACGGTTGCCGGGCGACGGGCGGCGTTGGCCGTCGTCGTCGCCGCTCGTCGTCGTTCGCCTGGTCGCCGCTCGGCTGGTCGCCAGGCTGTCGGCGGCGGCGACGGCGGCGAGGCTGAGGGGGGAGGGGGAGGGGGTGGAGTGGAGGAGAAGGCAGACCAGGAGGAAGGGGGGTGGAGCGAGGCGGAGGAAAGAAGTGGCAACGGATGGAGGAGGAGGAGAAGGGGGAGGGAAGGGTGACGTAGACTGGCGGCGGGGGGAAGGAGAGGGGCGGAATGGGGCAGAGGAAGGAGGGGCAGGGGCTGGGGGTGGGCGGTGCGGGCGGCAGCGCGCGAACGCGGACCGAGCGCGGGAAAGGTGCGGGTCCAGCGGGCGCGGTGAATGGCCTGTTCCTTTTCCTCCTCCTCCTCCTCCTCCTCCTCCTTCGAGCTGTCGATTGGCGACCACCTGCGAGTCTTACCCCTGGGGGTCCAATCGACGCTCGGGTATCGAACTTCCCGCTGGGGTTCACCAAACCCGGCTGCAAACATTCATCAAATTCTGAAATGCCGTCTCTCGCAGGACAGCCCGTGTCTACGTGGCCGGGCGCCCCAGGTCCACTCGCGTGCTCACCGCATTTGAGGCAGCTCAGTGGCATCACGGTGGCGTCGCCGAGCTTGTCGTCGTGACGGTGCGTCCGCTCCCCCTTTCCCTCCGCCGGTATGCCGGCCAGTTCGCTTTGTAGTGTCCCTGCATCGCTGCCGCGCTGGAGCGGATCGTCCCGCCTCGCTGCCGACGAAAACAGTGTCCGCTCCCCCTCCCCCCCTCAAAGAATGCGCTCAAGTTCTGAAGCCCAGCTGGCGCTTCACCTGCAGGGGTTGGGGTCGCAGCTTGTGGTTGTCCTGTGCAGGGTACGGACGCCCCAGGCTCCCTTCAAGGCGCAGCGGCCCTCGAACTGGACCGGGCCCCCGGGAGGGGGGGGCGGAGGTGGGGGGGGGCAGGGCACAGGGCATGGCTCAGGAGGGGGAAAACACACGCAGACACAATTCGTCGTCCTCTCCCAAGAAAATATGGGAAACTATGGGAAGTGGGGGGGAGGACAGAAACCCAGAATATATGGGAAACTATGGGGGATCCTCTTATTTGCGTGTACTTATCTGTGTGTCCCAGGGCCCCTTCAATGGCCGAGAGATGCGCAGAAGGGGGGGGCGACACACGGAGAGCTCCTGTCCCAGGCCTCCCTCCCCTGCGCCATCCTCCGTCCGCCCTGTGGTGTCCCGCTGGACTCTCCTCCCTCCTCTTCCCCTCTGCCCCCCCCTCCTCCATCCCTCCGCCTCCCCCTGTTCCCCTTTCCCCCCCCCTCTCCCCCCTCCTCCCCTTCGCCTCTCCGCTTCGCCGCCTCCCCCCTCCCCCTTCCCCCCCCCCCCCCTCCTTTCCGCCCTCCTTTCTCGCCCCGCTCGGCAGAGCCCCGGGGCCAGCATAACATAGCCAAGGGACAGGGCCGGCTGCCCCGCCGAGCGAGTGGGCACGCGAGGCGCTCAACGGGGGGCCTCGCCTTCCGCGCGTCCTCGACACTGCGCCGTGGCCCGCGCAGCCCGCCCCCCCCCTTAGGCCCCAGCCGAGTCGTGGCACAACGGGCACACCCCCAGGTACAAACAAACTTGGTCTTACGGATGGCTCACTGTTGCTCCACACCTCTTCGGGAACTGGAGCGTGTACATATTGCCAGTGGCGGGCTGTTCTTGAATCCCAGAACTCTTTCGAGGGTCGGGGAGGACGTCGGGGTGGTGTGGTGTATACTTTTGCCCCGCTTGCCCGGGGAAGTAGCGAAACATGTGTACACCAGGATCCCGCATACACCAGACTCAGGTTCCCTGTGCGAATCTCAGTGCGGGCCGGAACGAGCGTCGGTGTATAGAGTTCGGCCCCTTAATGGAGGATGACGATTCATAAATGGCCAGGGGTCGTGTTCACGCGGCGGCGCCCGGGATGACGATTCGAAAACACCGGCCGCGGGCTGGAAAACTTTTTTTTTTTTTTACAAAAAATCGTTCTCCTCCAGTCAGATAGTTGCGCAGAAATAGCAGACAACTTTTTAGAAATAATAATAATAGTAGTAATAATAATACTAATAATAATAATAACAATAATAGCAATATGAATAAGAACAAGAATAATATTGATAACAATACTAATAATACTAATAATACTAATAATAAGGATAATAATAATAATGATAGCAATACTATATATATATATATAAACATTATCCTCCGGTCAGAAAATTGCGCAGAAATAGCAGAAAACTATTTTTTTAATCGTTCCCTCCCTTTTCGATCAATCGTCATCTCGCATTACCTCTGGAGCCTCCGCTCGACGTCCTTGCTTCCTCCGCGGCCGCCGCACCTCTCGGGAGGGGAGGAGGACGTAGGGGGAGGAGGGCGCCCCGCGCCGAGGCCAGGGCGCCGGCCGCCCCGGCGCGGGGCCCCGATTCTCTATGGGGCGGGGGGGCTCCGATTTCGGCCCGGAGCGAGGGGGGGGCCTGCAGCGACCGGGCGAGGAGCAGACTCCCAGATGTCAGGAGGAAAAGAGACACACAGACACAATTTCATCGTCGATCCCCCAGAAAATATAGGAAAGTATGGGAAGTGGGGGGGGAGACAGAAACCCAGAACATATGGGAACATATAGGGAATATGTTTATTTGTGTGTATTTATTTGTGTGTCCCAGGGCCCCTTCAAGATGAGCGATGCCAGTGGTGAGAAGAATTTGGACGCCCGGAATGGGTACGGAAAAAATGGGTACAACGCCCAACCACAAAGGTTGTCCCAAACCAACAGCGGCCGCTGTTGGGCAGGCGGCCTTCTGTCTCGAATGGACACAGGCCGCGGCGGCGTGGACAGCGAGTCCTGGTCAAAATGAACAGGAACTGCTGTTGGGCATTGTACCCATTCTTTCCGTACCCATGTCGGGCGTCCAAAAAGAAGAGGGGGCATACGAAGATTGCGGTCCTTTATTGCAGCGGGTACGTTGACCGAACCAGCCCGTCAGCAGGTGCCCCCAGGATGTCGCGCACTCCCCGAGGGAGGCCCAGGAACCCGAAGAAGGGTCGGGGCACCTCAGGGCCCTCGAGGATCGACGAAGAAGAAGCACACACACACACACACACACACACACACGCACACACACGCCCCTGTGGGCGCGGCGTGGTGGAACCCCCGGGGGCCCACCCCCTCCCCATACGGGTGTGGGGTGGTGCTGCGGTGCCGTCGTCGTCGTCGTCGTCGTCGTCGTCGCCGTCGTCGTCGTCGTCGTCGTCGTCGTCGTCCATGCTGTGCTGAACGGGTCCCTTTCGTCCCACAAGAATCGTTCGAAGCCCAGGGAGGAAGTGAGAGGGGGTGTGCCTTCTCGGGACTCGGAATGCTCGGAAGGCCTCGGGAGGCCTCGGGACTTTGAGAAGTTGTCCGAGCCTTCCCCGAATATACAGAACACTTCTCAGGAGGCGCGAGAGCTTCCGAAAAGTCCCGCCGCCTTCTGACAAGGCCCGCCCCCTCTCGCTTCCCCCTTGGGCTCGCCGCCAAAAAGAAACTTTCCGCCCAAACAATATCAAAATAACAACAACAATTCCAACAACAACAACAACAACAACAACAACACAACAACAACAGCAGCAGCAGCAGCAGCAACAACAACAACATCAATAACAACAACGAGAGTCTTGTCTATCCGTCTCGCGGTAGTGAGTTTTACTCGCCCTCTCCACCAAGAGTGCCCGGCTACTTGAATCGCCAGTTCGTATCATTCGATCAGGCTCGTGGCGGTGATTTTTGTAACCCATTTCTTGCTTCGACCACCAGAAAGAGTCTCGAGCACGACACCGAAACTTGAGGGTCTTCACGTGTCGGGCCCTAGGAGGCGATACTCATTCGACACTTCGCTAGCGTGCCGGGCAGGCATTGTCGCGATACTTCTCTGGGTGCTCGAAGTCGTTTCTGGGATGTGGCCCTTTAGTACGATGGGAACAGAAAAGGGGTCGGCCTGAACGGTGTTCTGGCGATTTCGCGGGCCGTTTTCGTTTCGATGTCGTTCTGCCGCAGCAGTGAATTGGAGACACCACGAGGGAGCACGACAACACAACACGAGCACGACAAACACTGGTTCAGGCCGAGCCCTGGGGAGCAACCTACTTCGCGGTATGTCTGATCCCTCCTCCTCCCCTTTCTCCTTCTTCTCCTCCTCCTCCTCCTCCTTCCCCTCCTCCTACTCCTCCTGCTCCTCCTCCTCCTCCTCTTCCTCCTCCTCCTCCCTCTCCTCCTCCTCCTGCTCCTTCTCCTCCTCCTCCTCCTCCTCCTCCTCCGCTCCTCCTCCTCCTCCTCCTCCTCCTCCTCCCTTCCGCCTCCTCCTCCTCCTTCTCTCCTCCATTCCTCTCCCCTCCTCCTCCCATTCCTCCTCCTCCTCCTCCTCCTCCTCCTCCTCCTCCTCCTCCTCCCCCTCCTCCTCCTTCCTCCTCCTCCTCCTCCTCCTCCTCCTCCTCCATTCCTCCTCATCGTCCTCTCCTCCTCCTATTCCTCTCCTCCTCCTCCTCTCGTCCTTCTTCTCGTCCTCCTCCTCCTCCTCCTCCTCCTCCTCCTCCTCCTCCTCCTCCTCCTCCTCCTCCTCCTCCTCATTCTTCTGCGCAGCCGCCCGCCTCCTAGTTCGCCGACGCCGTCGCCCGCGACGCCGCCGCGGACGGCGGCGAGGCCTGGGAGCGCGGGGCGCACGGCCAGGATCGGACGGGGGGGGCATGGGGAGAGGAGGGAGGGAGGGCGAGGGAGGGGAGGGGAGGGGAGGGGGGGGAGGGGAGCGGAGGGGAGGGAGGGATGGGAGGGGAGGGAGGGGAAGGAGGAGAGGGATGGGAGGGTAGGGGAGGGGAGGGGAGCGGATGGGAGAACGAGGAGGGAGAAAGGGAGGGAGGGAGGGGAGGGGAGGGGAGGGGAGGGGAAGAGAGGGAAGGGGAGGGGAGGGGAGGGGAGGGAGGAGGAGGAGGAGGAGGAGAAGAGGAGGAGGAGGAGGAGGAGGAGGAGGAGGAGGAGGAGAGGAGGAGGAGGAGGAGGAGGAGGAGAGGAGGGAGGAGGAAGGAGGAGGAGGAGGAGGTAAGATAAGATAAGACCGATCGCGAAGCGAGTTCAATGAATTAGGAGGATCTGGCCGCCTTCTCAGCTCTGCTGAGAACTTTGGGCATGCGATATCTTGAAAGACGGTCGAGCTATACTCGCCGTGCTTTGGTAAGCGGGGCTCTTGGGGGGGCCATACACTCATCAGCCAAACCTCGGAGCTGCTGCTGATGGTAACACCCACAGGCCGCACAATACCAAACGGACAGGGATTCATGATAAAGCATGTGGTGAGATCGGTGGACCCACCCCCCAGCGAGATGCAAACGCTTCCCCCGAGGAACCCTCAGAATCCCCGTAGACTGAAGCTCAGGCTGGAAGCACGCTGACTCGAGAAACTCCTTTTTTCCCAGCCACAGTCGTGGATCCCCTACAAACCATGCACCTTTTTTTCCACACTCCGAGATACTATGCGCACTGCAAAAAAGGGCCACCGTGGCTGGGGCAGGAGGTGAAACCTTGGGAGGCTTACGGGGCCTTCGGTGAGCCTCCTTTTCCTTCTCGCAGGCAATGGATTCGAGCGAAGCTCTGAGCAAACGTTGACGAATGAGGGCGACTTCATGCTCAGTCTGCAAAATACGAGCACGCTGATCCTGCGGGACCCTCGCACGCAGTGCCGCCTCTCCAGCCAAGTGGTCGACGAAAACATTGCGTGCGATGAGAGGTCCCGCCAACTGCCGAGTGATGACTTCCTCACCTGAAACATGAGATGGGACTTTGATGACGGCGATGTGATACGGCTCCCGTCTTTGTTGCTTGAGCGTCTGCCCCACTTCTCGCCACAGATCTGAGTTCGCGCCTTGTGGAACGATGTACAGTCGTTCCCACCAGCCTCGGCACACCTCCTCATTGTCCGTGACGAATGTCATGAATCCTGCCGGCCACCTCACACCCAGGAGGAACGCCAGCAGTTCGCCCCTAGGGACGGTTTGCCTCACTCCTGACAGTGGTCCAAAAACAAACGAGAATCTGGTCCAGGGAGCTCGCCGACTGCTGATACTGCTAACCCTACCCGACGAAGTCGAGGATCATGTGTATCGCTGCCGCCCGAAGCATCACCATGGATCACAATGGGTGTAGACTCATCGCCCTCGCCGAAAAAGCTCTGATCCAGGTCGTCGTTGTGACTGACTGTCCAGATCTCCTCTTGCGTGGGCGGGTCCACAGCCGTGAGGTGAGAGGGTATGAGCCCTCGATTCCAATAACATTCAATACTGTCACCTTGGGTCAGCGCTTTGTGGCATAACTCCTGGGACAAATCAAAGGCTGCCGAAGAAGGAGGAGGAGGAGGAGGAGGAGGCGTTGGAAGAGGAGGAGGATGCACGCGCCAGGCTTCCAATGTAAGCTTGCGCAGCGTCAAAAACGCTGGGGGGGGCGGAGTAGGGGGAGGAGGGAGGGGACAAGTTAGTTGCGCTCGCGTTGTATCTGACGTCCTACCCTTCCCTCCCATCCCTTACCATGGCGTAGATATCCCCTCGATTCGCACAATCGGACGTCGTAGCATGGCATAGCATTACATGGTATTGCATGGTGCCGAATGTCAACGCGTAGCCTGACATACCATAGCGTGGCGAAGTCTCAAGGTGGGTGGGGGGCGCCTGCGGCCCAAGAAATCAACGAATCGACACCGAATGTGAAATCGCTTCCGATGGTTTCTTCGGGAGGCCATGTTCTAGATGTTGGTGCCTATTTGGAAGGACCGAAAACCATGCCGTGACATGGCACTCGAAGTGATGACGCCAGCGTTGCAGCGGGAGAACGGTTCGGAACGGGCGGTAGTCCGAAAACGAGGCCAGCGCTTCGAGAGCAGCATTTTGAGAAGCAAGAACAACACACGGAAACGCGGAACCGAGGACGCGCAGCTTGACATAGCATGGCGTGGCGACGCCCCAAAGTGGAACGGCCCAACAAATCAACGAACCGACACCGAAGGTGTAAGCATTTCCGATGTGTTTTTTTCGGGGGGGGGCAGTTTCGAGATTTTGGGGCCGATGTAAGGACCGAGAACCAAGTCGTGGCATGGCACTTGAAGTAATGACGCCAGCGTTGCAGCACGATTCGGAACGAGGGGAAGCGCGGCAATGAGGCCAGCGCTGCAGCGGGAGCACGATTCGTAACGAGCGGTAGCCCGAAAATGATGCCAGCGCTTCAGCGAGAAGAGTTTTTTCATTGTATGTAAAAACAGTAATGCTAATACTACAATATAGCTTCAACAGCAAAAACAACAGCAACATACGCGGAAGCGCGGAAATAAGGGCGCGTAGTTTTACATAGCATGGCGTGGCGACGCCCAAAAGTGTGGCGGGGATATCCGCGGCCCAAGAAATCAACGAACCGACACCGAATGTGAAATCGCTTCCGATGGTTTCTTCGGGAGGCCATGTTCTAGATGTTGGTGCCTATTTGGAAGGACCGAAAACCATGCCGTGGCATGGCACTCGAAGTAATGACGCCAGCGCTGCAGCGGGAGCACGATTCGGAACGAGCGGAAGCGCGGAAATGAGGCCAGCGCTGCAGCTGGAGCACGATTCGGAACGGGCGGTAGCCCGAAAATGAGGCCAGCGCTTCAGCGAGAGCAGCACTTTAGGAAAGACCATAGCGAAAACCCAACTCCCCGGAGTCTTGCGTGTAAACAACCAGTGCGCGCAGGGGGGCCCGACATTCCCCAGACACCACCGGGGGAGAGAGGAGAGTACACCTTAGGCGATGCTTAAGAAAGCTTAAGTTTTCGGCCAGAGTCTCGATGATTCTTAATGTTTCCATGTAAATCCTAAGATGTTCATAGAAATCCTGGGTTTTTAGTCAATTTCTGAGACTGTGAATTTCTCAACCCATGATTTCTTAAACATTTCGCAGGGTGTAGTGCTCATCATGTGTGACTGTGGAGGGGAGGGCGGGGCCCAGGGAGAAGGTCGGGAGGCAGGCAGGGCGGGAGAGAGGGAGGAGGGAGGGGAGGAGGGACCGCGGGACGGACGGCCAGGACGGGACGCGGGAAGGGGGAGGAGGCAGGGAGGGATGGAGGGGGACCGACCTCCGAGGAGGATGCGATTAGTATTGTGTATAGATCGTTGTGTCTTATATGTGTGTGGTGTTTGTTGTGTGTGTGTGTGTTGTGTGTTGTGTGTGTGTTGTGTGTTGTGTGTGTATGTGTGTATGTTTGTGCATATATGTACGTGTATATATACATATATTTACATACGCATATATATACACATACACATACATATGTGTGTACGTATATATGTGTAGATATACATATATATATATATATGTATATCTATATACATATATATATATATATATATGTATTGAACAACTGGCGGTGCTTCCTCGATCCCGATCCCCCGGGGCCCGTGATCGGGCCCGGGGGCCCTCCAAAGCGGACCCAGAGCGCACACCTGCCCCCCAAAGAGAGGAGGCGGGGAGGGAAGGGGGCGGGGCGCGTCGGACGGGGCTCGGACGAGGAGAGATTCGGGCCGGGCGAAAGGGGGGGATTGGGAAAGGGGGGGTTACGAAATTTGCTGCATGCAGCTGATTTCGGCCTCACCGAGGGGCCCATTCCTCGATACATGGGCGCCTCCGGCGCCGGGAGGCGCCGGGAAAATCAGCTACGTGAGCTGATTCTCAACCCCCCCCTTTGCTATCCCCCCCTTTCGCCCGACCCGAGAGATCCTCCCTGGAAGGGCGTTCCGGAGCGCTCCCGGAGGATTCCGCAACGCCCTGAGAGGGCCGCGGCGCCCGAGGCGTCCTCCAGAGCCGCCGGATCTCAGAGATGCTTGATGCATCATCGCCCGAATGTGTCTTCGTCTTGGCTTCGTCTCAGGATGGGAGGAGGGAGATGGGCAGAGGAGGGAGCAGCAGGAGGGAGAGAGGAGGGAGGAGTATGGGGGAGGAGCGAGGAGTGCTGAGTACTGACTGGAGCACTGCTCTGGGAGGACCGTCCACGCCGTCGCAACACCAGACTGCCCCTCGGAGCGTTGGAGTTTTCCGTCTGTCGTGCCCACTGTGAGTTGGATATAGAAGCGGCCCATAGTAGAAATCCATGCAAAGAAACACCCTGATGTTGCATCCAGGGTGCGCTGGGTGTCTCGGGCTCCGATGGTTTTACCATGGCACACGCGACGTTCCCACGCCGAGAGTCAGTGGACGTCCTGGGGTCTGAGGGTTGGGTTTCTTGTGGAAGGTTTCTGGTGGTCGAGCTCTTACAGTCGACCCACATGGCAAGGATGGGCAACTTTCCTCAGGGTACCCTTGCATCCTTGCCTCCTCGGTCCATCCTTGGCCACTTTCGTTGGCCGCGCCCCGCCCGAAAAATTCGAAGTGGGCGTCCAAGGCCCTTGCATCATTGTCGTGCGTCCTTATGATACGGGTCGATTGTGCTGGATGGAAGCGGCCTACAGCCTCTCGGCCACCAGCCGCGCCGCTCCGAGCGGCGCCCCCCCGCCCCCTTTTGGGTGTGACCAGAGGTGCCCCTGGCCCACGGTGCCCCTGGATTGCCACGCTCAAGATGGGCCAGCCCCCCCCCCCACGGTTGCCCCAAGATGCCCCAGGAGGCCCTTATAGGCGGCCCAAGACGACTTCAGGATGGCCCAAGCGGCGCCCCAGACGGCCTA